TGAGGTCCCGTCTACACCATTGGCACGCCACTTGACGTCAATGACGTCATCTCTTCACAGGTGGACCATTGCCACACCGGCGCCTTGTTTCGTGCTGAGCAATGTGGAAAATGAAAATTGCCAGCTAAACTGTTACCGTCATTGCCATATCAGGACCGTGATTAATGATAGCGGAGACGAAGCGTTCGATGTAAACGTCCATGTTCTTCTCGTGACGGCGAATGAACGGTGATAACACCTGATAATGTAACATGAGTCTTGTTCGCTGCGGATGATTGGGCGTGCCAAGGAGATGGGGTTGGCGCCTCTCCTCCCCCCCCCTCCCGAACTCGTTTTTTTAGTTCGGCAAAGGCAAAACAGCATCATATCATTCGTATCAACCGTTTCCATGAGACGTTGTCACTTACGCGCTTCAACAACTGAAGGAGAACACGGCTGGCAACGCGCCAAACCCAGCCTCGCTGACGCGCCCCTTCATCCGCAAGAGATAAAGGCTGTAAAACGATTACTGAAATCCTCGCGAGAAGTTCCCTTACCTTATCGAAAGACGAACTGCGCTCCGGCTGTTTGTGGACACACGGCCCATAATAGGAAGAAGAACTTGAGTAATTCGTAGAAAGGTATGAAGTAGTGAACAAAACACGATGTGAGTATAACGTCAACAGCAAGAAATGACCCAAATACAGCCCAGTATTTGGACCAGTATGACTGAAATGTATTGTTTAACAGAGCCATGATAGCGATTTATCAGGAACCACCCTAAAGTCCGGTTGATAAGTCCGCCGTTAGGTAAATCGCGCGATGTCGTGGTCGCCGCGCGTGCAAACACTAGACACACTCACGGCGACCGCGACATCACGCGGAATTATCGATTGGCAGACTTATTACCGGGCTTTAGGGCAACCATACTATTGCACGTGAGAGTTACAAGGGAAGATATTATTTCTACGACTGATAAAATAAATCGGTATTGAAGGATTCTAGTTCCGCAAAGATGCGCGACATCGCGAGGTCACCACGCGACGTCGCGCACCTCTGGCAGCACGACGTCCGCAGCAATCAATTCGGAATCAAGGCAGAGCGCGGGAACCGGTGAACACTCCCAAAAGCTTTAGGTTATGCGACAACACTACAGTACTTCTTGTGCGGCATGATTCATGTCATATCAGTTGTTTCCACATTTCGGACCGCTTCCCCGGCGTAGCATGCGGAAATGATATCGATTAGCCCCGCGTAAAATCAATACCC